CAGGACAGATGACCCCTCCAGGACCAGTGGTGAGAGTGGTGATGCCTGGAGGGTGGAGGGAATGTGGGGTGTAAAGGGGGAACGGATTACAAGAATCTACATATAGCAGATGGCGTGGGGAGTCGTCAGTGTAACATATGACAAAATAATTTATGAATTATGAAGGGTTCATAGGGAGGGGGGAGTGAGGGGGGAAATGAGGAGCCGATATTAAGGGCTCAAGTAGAAGGTAAATGTTTTGTGGATGGCAACAAACGTACATGTGCTTGACACAACGGATGTATGTATGGTGATAAGAATTGTACGAGCCCCCAATAAAATGATTAAAAAAAACACTCAAAAAAGCCGATGGAATCTGGTCAACATCTATGACCCCATTCAACATTTATTGAGAAAACTGTCAAGCCATGATGCAGGGCAGGGGTATGGCGTGGATGTTAACAGAACGACCCCTGCCCTTCAAGCTCACGTTCTAGTGAGGCAGCTACTAGGGCAGACGGTATTAAGTGCCATGAAGAAAAGCAAGGCAGAGGAGGAAGACAGGAGAGCAGAGGCAGTAACTTTAAATAACATGATCGGCAAAGATCTGAAGGAGACAAGGGCTTGAGCCCAGCAGGCAGCTGGTGAAAATATTTAAGCAGAGAAGTGTAAAGACCGCAAGGTAAAAAGAGCCTTATAGATGGAGCGAGCACTGCGGGAGAGAAGTGGGGCCAGAAACAGTGGCAACTAGCTGAGGGTCTTGTAAGGTATTCCAAGGATTTGGACCTGTACTTACTCAAGAGGGAGAGAAGTACTGAAGGATCTTGACCCGATTTCTGATTTTAAAAGGATTCTATGGTTATGTCAAGACAGGCTCAACCAGACAAAGGGGAAGCAGGGAAGGCCAGTTTGGAATGTACTTCAAGAACTTAGGACCAAGATACAGGAGTGTTGGACCATAGAAGTAGTGTTTATTCAAGATTTCCAGAGGATGGCATTTTGGCATTTTCAAATTTAACTGCCATGCAAGAGGTAACAGAACAAGCAGCTGTTCTGTTATCTCAGGTGAGCCACGAGCCGGTCTGGAGTTCGGATTCAGTTGCAGGCTGTCTCCGGACAAATGATACCTTAAGTGCTTCTAACCGTCACTCTCACGGCCATTGAGTTGATGCAGACTCCTAACGACCCCAGAGGACAGTGTAGAACTGCCTCGTGGGTTTCTGAGAGGCTAACTCTTCTTCACAGGAGTAGAAAGCCTCATCTTTCTTCTCTTGGAGGAGCTGGTGGTTTCAAACTGCTGACCTTGTGGATTAGCGCCCCAAAATGTAACCACGCCATCAGTGCTCCCTAAGAATTTCTAAGCTTTGTCCCTTGTCAACAATCACTTACCTCTCCTCCCCCAGTTTCTTTGGTTATTTAAACTCACCTGATTTCAAGAAGCTTGCAAGCATTTTTTGTGCCTCAGATTTTCTTCTATAGGCTAAACTTTCTCAGAGCTTCCTTGAACTTAAGACTTGCACAATGGAGGTGAGAGTGGATTATGATTCAAGAAGCGACAGGGTCCAAGGTACCACTATTTGGGGGGAGAGTGAACATCAAGGAATGTGCAAGAACAGAACTACCCCATCTCCTGAAGACAATAAAAAGCCTCACAAACGTCTTACCAAGATTTAATGTACATTTATTCTTAACACGTGGAACATATAGTATAAAGATTTCATACTGAATAAATGATATTCATTAAGCCAAAAAAGGAAAAAAAGGAGGAATTTACATCAAGTTTTAGCTACATTGTTTGAAATACAAATATGCAGATTTTATCACTGAAAAAATCTCAATTGTGTTTCTTCATCAGGAACTTTAACTGAACCTAGAACTTTTTCACACCTCGATTAGAAAGAAAACAAAACAAAACAAAAACCCAGAAAAAAATAAACTATAAGTTGATTGGCTGCTGAGACAGCAAGGAATTTTTTTTCTTTTTTTTTTTTTAAAGAGAGAGACCTGTACAGCATCGCACCGAGGGAGCGATGTCTGGCAAGAGATTAAATAGCTGTGTCTCGCTTTGTGCAGGTCACCAACTTGTTAACTCGTCATACTATAAAGGGGTGGCTGGGAGGGGGACCAAACTGTGGAGATCCAGAGGGTATGTGCAATGTACAACGTCATATATACACACATGTGGCAGCACAGCGCTGCAGCTAAAGGTTAAAACCAGTTCTAAGAGGTGATCTCAGGGTTATTCATACAATCAAGGAGGAAGAGAAAGAGGTCAGGGTGTTGTAGGTTCACACATGATACTTTGGGGGAAAAGCCTTTTTTTTTTTTCTCCTCAATGTTTAACTAAAAACATTTTTAAAAACTACAGCTTGCTGCTGACCCAGCGTTTTCTCTTTTTTCCATGTGAGACATGATTATTACAGTATGTTTACAGTATCAGGTGTACAGTACAGTACATGAAAGGATCTACACTCTACTGCACAGGCCTCTCCAGTGAACAGGGTCTGTCCACACTGCTCACGTCTCGGCTCCTGCGAGATTGTGAATGTACAACAATAAACCACACACAGTTCAGCAGTCACCTTTGTTGTCCTTCAGAGGGTTATTTTTTTGTATTTTTTTCTTTTCTTTTTTTTTTTAACCATTAAAAACAGTTATGAAATGTGGCGTCCCGTTGATGCAAGGACCGGGAAGCCATTTTTATTTTATTTTATTTTATTTATTTTTTTCCCCAAACTCACTGTAAACAACAGTAACTTTGGTTAAAATAAAAAAGTCTTCTATGTAGGCAGAGCTTTGTCTTTTCAAATAGGGTGGGGACCTGAGGGGAGTAAGGTGTGGACAGGGAACAGAAAGGGGTGGGAGGAGAGGGAGGGAAGAGCAACAGGAGAGACGTTTTTTCCCAAGGGAGAAGCTGGACAGCACAGGGTAAACTTGATTCTGAGGTGGTTTTGCATAAATAAAGGGCAACAGTCAGTTTCTAAGTTCTCCACACACGCACACACACACGGGGGGGAGGTGTCCCACGGCTGTCATGACTGGCCAATCAAAAACAGTACATCACAAATGACTTGTGAAACCAAGGAGTTCATCAACGGCGATACCGAGATGTCCAACAGCCGCGACTCGTACAGAGTGAACTCTGAATGGTTCTCGTCCACCTTGGCCAGGGCAAGCAACGCGCGGGCCGCCCGCCGCATCATGTCCACACTGGTTGGCTCAAAAGGCGGGTTCTGCATGTGGAGGAGACTGGCCTGGCTTTGCTGGAACTGCGTGGCAGCAAGACTGTCCTCTAGGAAGCCCAGGAGGTTGCCGATGCTGCCCTTCTGTACGGCGATGGCGCGGGCTGCCAGACTGTCGCCCTGCGCCAGGTTAGCCAGCAGTACCACAGCCATCTCCCGGCATACCGGGTTCTTTCGGTCACTAAGGAAGCGCACCATGGTGCTATACAACTTCTCCAGTCGGCTGAAGGGGGGTGTGGCCAGAATCAGGTCCACATTGTTGTCCTGGATGCTGAGTTTGCTGAGAGCTTCCAAGACCAGTCTCTGGGGGGAGAGGACGGCGTTGGGGCCCAAGGTAGAGAAGGGGTCCTGGGCTTCAGCTGAGGGGCAGACCGCCCAGTGTAGAAGTCCATCCAGGACAGGCAGACAGATGCTCTCGGGGTACGGGGAGAGGTCCAACTGGCCCGAAATGTTGGCGAGGGTGACCAAGGTGTTTTCCCGGAGCATCTCCAAGCAGTCCCACCACCACTCCACCTTGTTGCAGCTCACCCCTTGGTCCTGCTCCTCCTCCTTCTCGTAAGTTAACGGTGCCTGCTTCCGTTCCGGGTGCTTGTGGTGCAGCAGGATCAGCTTGCCCAGGATCAGCAGCAGCCCCGGGTGCTTGGACATCTCAAAGTCGTTGCCTGGCACAAATGACAGGCTTCGGATGGTGTTGGACACACAGACGCAGCGCTTGGCCAGGGAATCCTGCCAGTCCAGAAGGGTGCACAGTGGGGTCTCATCTTTACTGTGGGGTTCGTCCTCTAGAATTTTGATGTTCCGGTGGCTCTGTGCTGGGTTGATGCCAAATGGGAACTTGCTGCTCTCCTTGGAGGCCTCCGCACTCTTGGACCCCTCCTCGGCCAATGTGCTCGACCGAGTGGACAACATATCATCCATTGTGGCTGTGATCCGCTTTTCTGGAGGGCCATCAGGCGGGGGACCCTCCTGCTCTGTTGTCCCTGGCATACCCTCTGATGCTGTGACATGTTTCTGGGGGGCTGGAGGGCAGGGCACATGAGGCCGGGTAGGCAGCAGCTCTGTCTTGCTTTCAAAGTGGGTCTGAATATGTTCAGTGGTGTCCCCCCCACCAATCCGCCAGTGTAGCAGGCCACTGTCAAACTCCTGCACGCGCCCAAGCTTATCTGAGCAGTCCACCACAAACAGGTCGTTCTTCTGCACGACCTTCACTGGCAGCTTGTCAAACTTACTGATCAGCTTCTCCTCGCTGTTCTCTGAGGGGGGCTTGTCCTTGCCTGAAAAGGCCATCTCCTCATCATTTTCAACTACCTCCTCCTCTTCTTCCTCCTCCAGTTTAGGACCCAAGAGGTCTTCTTCCTCCTCCCCTTCCACAGGCGCTGGACTAGAGGCCTTATTGAATCTCCCAGGGTCTAGTAATGTTCTCTGTCCTGGGTCACCCACCTCATACTCCTTTAAAATGCCAAAGATCTCGATCAGGCAACGTCGGAAATATTCCACAAGGAGCTCCAACAACCCTGGGAGCTAGACAAGAAAGAGGAGGAAGAAGTCAGAAAAGTGGGGCTGAAGAAGAGAGCTGCTGACCAGCAAGGGCTCTCCACAAAGCTTCATGTCCACCCCAGCCCCCTTCCCCAGGGAGCAGGAATCGCTATCACGCTGGAGAAGCAGAGTTGCCACCTCTCCAAAGGCTCTCCAAGTCGTCTCTTCTGTGCACAACACGAGATTTTTCTATCTGCCCAACCCGCCTTCATTGAGGCCTGCCCCCAGTGGGATGGAAACGCTGGCCAGCAGCTTTGCACTTCGCCTGCCAGCATCATCCATCCCTCAGGTTCTTCTTCCCAATCACTTGTCTGTCTTCGGCCAGGGCTCTAAGGTACAGGCTGCATGCCACTGTCAAGTACAGCCTGAAGCTACACGCAACGGGATGATCACTTCCAACACAAGCTGAAAGGAGGGAACGCAGTAAGGACAGATGTTCATCTGTCCTCTGCTCCAAGTTCCCCAATACCCCAGGAGGCTGGACCTCCAAAGGCCTTGCACAGTGAATGAGTGAGTTGAGCCCTCTGCTCTCCCAAACTGGGGCTAAGAAAACACATTTCCAGATCAAGCAATTTCCAGCTGTATAGTATATCAGAATTTGGGGGGCGGTGGGGGGTGTTTGGTAGGGAGGGGAGTCTTAAGTATATGAGGAATTACTGGGTTTGAGTTTTAACTTTTCTAGGAACTAGCTGAATGATTTAAACCAAGCTGAGGATTTTTCTGTCTCTCCATCAAAAATGATGGAAACCCTAAATTGTCCTGAGGTATAAATGGATTACTATACAAAATATCCAATGAATTGAAATTGTTCCATCAATATTTGCCTTTTCTTTCTTAAGGAAGAGGGAGTATTATACTAAGAAAGTTAAAGCAAGGCTTTGTGATCACAAAGATTCCACTGACCAATCTATGTTCCTATGCACAGCCTAAGTCCGAGCCTCTTTAACTCATCTTTACACGGCCACATATGTTGCCTCACAGGCCACATGGGGCCTGGCACAAACTGAGGACACAGTCAATAGTAACGTTAGCTCCTTGACAGGTGGGTTGATAAGGAGGCAGGATGATCAAAAGAAGGAGCAGGACAGTGCAGCTGGGCATCCTGTGGAAGCTCCAGGTGTACTATTGTGGAGAGAGGGTCTGGAGAAGCAGCACATCTCACACAACCGAAATAACTCACAGCCCTCCTCTACTCAAGAGTGAAAGAAGGAAGGGATAAATGAATGGCTCTGTTCTTAAAGACAGACCGGTTCTTCTTGGTGGTCTACAAATACGGTGTCCTCCTCCCTGACATCACGAGAATCTGTACCCTTACCAAATGGCAGAAGTTTCCCCCAAGTTCCCTTTGAAAGAGACCCTGTGCTAAGGAATCAACATGGACTCTCACACCACCTGTGCCAGGATTCCAGGTCCCCCATTCTTCCCCAGGTAATGTACTCACCTGACTGAGGTTGAAGGTCATGATGCTATTATCATCATACAGCAGGATGTTAATGGTATCTAATGCCCACGTGCTCTCTGCCAGCAGCCCAGACTTGAGTGACATCATTACCCGCCATGCCTCCGGAGTTCCTGAAATAAACCCCATGTCTTGCATCCACCACAGTCCAGATTCGCTGGAGTCCACTCCACCACTGCCCCAGGCTGGCCTGTGGGTTTGGCTACTCTGAAGATAGATAATCCATGGTAGGAGGCAGTTTCTCTCCAGATGACAACAGACACCCACCCCAGGTTTCGAAGCCTTTCTAAGACATGAAAACGGAGCCCTGGTAGCACAGTGATTAAGTGCTCAGCAGGGACTTAAGAGGTTTAACTGAAGAAATATGTGGCCGAAGTACATCTATGGAGCAGTTCCATCATGCCCTATAGGGTCACTCAGAGTTGGGACGGACTCGATGGCAATGGGTTAAGGACATTACTTCATAATGATTTCTTGAAGCCTGAAATCTGTTTTCCTTTCTTAGCAGAAATTCCTTTACCCTACTTTACTCAACACCGGACCAGACGGGGCTGTACTGAGAACACGAGCATGGGAAGGAGCCAGGAGGGAGAAATGATGAAGTAGCCCAACCAGGGACGTCTCCTTACCAATGTCTTTCATTGTGAGCCTCCTCCTCTGCTTCAACACAGGCTGTGTGGCTTCGACAGAGCCAGGTGGGAAGGTAATATCCCGCCGAATCATGGGGGGCTGCACAGGGGCAGGCGCTATGTGCGAAGCAGGTACTGGTGGGCCTGCCTTCTGCATTTTCATCCCAGAGTGCAGGAACGGAGACTTACTAGGAGAGGTGCGGTTCTCCATTGGCCGAGGCAAGGGAGCAGGGCTGGATACCTGAGGAATGTGATTCTGCATGCTTGGTGGGGGCTGGTAGTTAGATGGAGGGGGTCTTGTCATAGGAGGCACGGGGGCAGAGGGACCATATGGAGGCTGGCGTGTGCCATGGGAGGGCCATGGACCTTCATGATTGGCCCTCTGATCCGTGTGCAGCATTTCATCTGTTCGGTTTACACCATGATAGGCGGGACCCTGGGGGGCAGAGGCTGAGCTCTGCCTGTTGGCATAATTGTAGGTCATGTCATTGCGCCCCTGCCACATGGTGCCTTGCTGAGCAACCTCAGATGATGCCTGTATGGGGCCACCCATCATTTGTGGTGGCATGTTCTGCTGGGCATTGGAGCCAGGGGGTGCAGAGACACGGTCTCGGCCAAATTGGAATGGAAATTGGTTCTGGGGGCCGCCTGCTGGTCGGCGCTCTGTAGCAGCGGCAGCAGCGGCAGGATAGGCATTGCCATACTGGTTGTACACATCCTGCTGAGGGGAAGGCTGAGCAGTTTGTTGCTGGCTGGCAGGCTGGGGCTGCGCTGGGGGCAACTGCTGTTGCTGCGGCTGACCCTGCCCTGTGCTGTAGGGCACACTGTACATCTCTCCTTCGTGCCGTTTGGCAGGAGGGCCATATGTGCCATCCATCGGTCGCTTATAATTCTAAGACAGAGACAAGCAGAGGGGAAGTTAGTATTTTGCACTCAGGGACACAGGACAGACAAACGTAGACCCACAGACACCAAGATGGCTACAATTACTTGCGTGGCCTACAGACACTTGCCTGCCCCCCACCAGAAGAACAGGCCCCAAAAGACTAAAGGCATCACTCTTCCAAAATGTTTTGAAATGGATTATGAAAGTACACCTATTCTCTTCTCCCCTGCCATTTCCTGGCTTAAGTAGAAATGGGTACAAAAACCTCAAAACGCAAAAGAGGGCCAGCTGATTCCCTTCTTAAGACATTTGTCTGGGGGCAATGAGTGTACAAATGTGCTTCACACAATTGATGCATGTATGGATTGTGATAAGAGTCGTATGAGCCCCTAATAAAAAGATTAAAAAAGAAGAAGAAGAAGAAAAAAGACACTTGTCTGGATTCCCAAAAGGAAAGTGACGGAGGCTGGCAGCTCTGGATTATCAGGAGGGTGTAAAGCAGCCGGGAGAAGCACCCTAGCATTTTCAGCAGTTAGATCACGAACTAGTTTTCAAGAGGAAGCTACCTCAGTCCACTCCTTTCTTACCTGCTGCTGCTGCTGATACATTGTGGTCTGTTGGCTGGGGAAGGGGCTACCAGAAGGGGTGCCTTGGCTGGAGAACTGATTGCCATAGGAATCATGTCTGCAGTTGGGAGAGAGACAGATCAGGGGGGGGTAAGTGATACCCTGAGCCAGTGCAACACCAAAGCTAGGCCAGGTCAGGCTTCCCTCACCGTTGCTGCTGCTGCTGCTGCTGTTGCTGTTGCTGCTGCTGCTGTGGGGGATAGCGACTAGGAGAATACATCCCCGAATCTGGGTTGGAAGGCATGAGATTTGGTTGTGGGGCCCCAGTGCCCATGTTTCCCTCAGGTCCTATCCCAGGTTCCGTCCTGTATAGAAATGGGAGAGGCAAATGGAATCCACCAGACAACTGTGGGGACTGGGATGGGGACAGGAGTGGTGGGTGGGGAGTCCTGCTTACCTCACTCGGTCATAAGGACCTCCGTATGGGTAGTGCTGTCGTGGTCCCATGGCCACATTCCCCAGTCCAGGGCCAGCAGCACGGCTGTAAGGGTCCCCCATTCCACCATTGGGGCCCTGCCCCGAGGACATGAAGGGGTCACTCCCTGGAGCTGAGTACAGACAGACAGAGGCAGTGAGAAAACGGACTAATCAGCAAGTCTGCTGAAACAGTGGTTTTCAACCTTCCTAATGCCGCACCCTTTAATACAGTTCCTCACTGGACACAGGGAATCCAGGGCAGATGAAGCCCTCAGGACCAGTGGTGAAAGTGGCAATACCAGGAGGGTGGATTAGAAAGGGGGAAACGATTACAAGGATCTACATAAAACCTCCTCCCTGGGGGACGGACAACAGAAAAGTGGGTGAAGGGAGACATTGGACAACATAAGACATGACAAAATAATAATTTATAAATTATCAAGGGTTGGGGAGAGGGGGCACATGGAGAGGTAGGAGAAAAAAAATGAGGAGCTGCTCCCAAGGGCTCAAGGAGAGAGCAAATGTTTTGAGAATGATGATGGCAACAAATGTACAAATATGCTTGACACCATGGATGGATATATGGATTGTGAAAAGAGTTGTACGAGACCCCAATAAAATGCTTAAAAAAAATACAATTGCTCTTGTTCTGATGACCACCCCCAACCATAAAATTACTTTCGTTGCTACTTCATTACTGTAATTTTGCTACTGTGATGAATCAGGCCACCCCCTGAAAGGGCCCTTTGACCCCCAAGTTGAAGACCACTGGCTTAAAGGGTCTAGGAAAGCCGCAGGGCCTCTTCAGAGCTCAAAGTCTTTCCAGACAAATTCAAGAGCTCCCCCCACCCCCCAAAGGTCCTAACCAGCCAAGAGCACTTACTTGTTAAGGGGTGACAAATTATGCCAGGGAGAGGAAATTAAGAAATGAGGCAAGGATGAAGGAGAATGGTTAGGACATGCTTAGGAAATGCCTTATCTCAAAAGGATGGCTGGGCAAGATGAGCCACCCTGAAAATATGCCCCATTTCTCCCTCATCCTGGACTTGAGGGCACAAAGTCAATGGTCAAGGTCACCTTTCCTCATGCTGCCATAAGGATCCTTATTTGGCTCGTAGGACATGCGTCCCATCATGTCAGAGGTATTCATACTGGGTTGGTACCCAGGGTTTGGAGTCATGGAATTCCGCTTCTGGAATGTGGGGTCACTTCCATCAGGAAAGGCATCCTGGATCCCGACTGAATTACTCCTGCTCCAGAGTGAAGAAAGCTAATTAAACTCCAAAGAAAGCAATTCCCCTCAGTAAATGCAAAACTCAGAGGGGTCACTGACTAGGCAACTAAGCACCCATGGGAAGCAACGGAAGAGCATGAATGCATCCATTTCTCAAGTCCCCAACCCCTGGCCTCACCTCATGCCCGGCAAGGGAGGGATCTGGCTGTGCGGTGTGGATGCTGGAGTTGGTGGCTTCAGGTCACCTCCTTCTGCCATCGAACTGCTGGTGGACTGAGGAGTCTGTGGCCCCTGCATAGACCCCGACCCCGCTGTGGAGAGAGTTGCAAGGGTGAGCAGCTTTATTGGAGAGAAGATGCTTCACAGGCACACACATGCACACCCTGGGAACTCCCTAGGAAAGAGTTTCCTATGGATCCTCCTCAACACAGACCAGAAAGGCTTAAAAGCTGAAGGTTCTATTGTTTCTTTCCAATGACTGACATTTGGAGAATTGGAGTGATGTGACAATGACATCACTAATCTGATGATTTCTCCAGTCACTGCCCTGATTTCTTCTTTATCCCTCATTTATTAAAGCTTCTAACACTGGTGTGCAACACCAGATCAGGGCCCCCTAAATCCTAGGCATGGAAGTTCCATCTTGTTCCAAACCCATGGTTCTCCCTTTAAGGAGCCCGGGAGCTCCTATTCCCCAGCATCCAGCAGTGTCATCACTCAGGTTCAAATGTTCCTCTAAGCTGAGGCCCACAGAACGAGGACCAGTAATTAATGTTTCCATTAGTTACCATTCCCAGCAGCAGATCTCCCAATGCTTAAGCCTCCCCAGCTGATGACTCATCTCAGGCACTCATTATACCCATGGAGGTCAACATCAGGGCACGTGTGTTTACACCCACCTTCCAGGCGCCCTGGCCTTCTACCCCCCGCCCCCCAACGCTCACCCAGGCCCCAGCCTTCTTTCTGAAAGGAGGGTGGGCAGAGGCACTCCCATCGGAGAGTTCCATTCATACCCCATCCCCACCCCCTCCTTTCATTCATTACTAATCTCAGCTCCCTGGGGAATTCAGGACGCTAGTCTAAACTGCATTCTAAGGCGCTGACATCAGTGGGCCAGAGCTCCCAGATGGCCCTGCCTCATTGCCATTTGTCAGTTTTCCCCACTCCTTGAATGTCCCTCCTACTCACCAGTTTACAAACATTTGGCGATATGCCAGGTGCACAATGAAACGAAAACTTAAGGCTGTTGCAGACTACTTCCTAAGGGAGTCACCACTACCCACGCTTTAGTCTGCCAACCCGCTCAGCCCCGTGGTCGGGCAAGGCAGGGCACACATCTCAGGCAACTCCTCGGCCATCCTGTAGGCAGGCACCACCGGGCAAGAACCCTGGCAGTCAGCCCTTAGCCTTGGTTAGGGCCACTTGGTCCATCCTTACCAGGAGAGGGAGGCTGGATCTTGGGCTGAGACTTCTTGGAATCAGCAGCTGCAAAGATGTCTGGGGGAGGATCTTCTCCCCGCTCAATCTTGCACTCAAAGGCATAGAGACACTGGATATACTGCTTTTTCAAGGAGCTGGCAGCACTGCTTGAGGTGCCTACATTGAGGTTGGTTGCAAGTTCCCGCCATTTTTTGTTCTTGTTGACCTGTACAACCAAACAGAAGAGTCCACCTGGTCATTTCTGCCAAGCCCCAACCTATCAAGACTGCCACATATCGGTTGGTTCTCAGTTAAACCATGAACTTGAACCCCACTGGGGGGATAGTTCACAACAAACAGGAACTCAAGGTCTAGCCTCACTCTACCCGCAACACCCTCTATCCACAAGCCATTGCCAACTGCCAGGCAATGTGCATTGCAAATCTCACATCACTCCAAGAGAATAGAATTCAAAAGGTGTGGTTTTTACTTTACACAAACCCCTGGAGTGTGTGTGTGTGTGTGTGGGGGGGGGGGGGGGGGCACAGGCATGAAAATCACCCTTAAATCTCTTTCAGTAATAAACCCAACAATGACTGGTATTTGCTGTCCATCAAGTGCTCCTCGAGGTGCTTGATATACAAACATGCATTTAAGCCAAGGTGGAGGTACTATTCTCTTTTGCCAATGAAATGAGGAACGTGACAGAGCCACTTGTTCCATCCCAGGCTGGTGGGTGGCAGCTGACGCCACAGTTCACGCTCTGATATGCTCCCTATGAGGGTCCCTTTTGTAAAGTGATGGCTCTGTCATTATCAACTGCCACCTGTCTTGGCTTATTTTGTCAAGCTGAGACCTTCACATTTAACTTTTTTCTACAAACTTGACACTTCTGTGCCCAAGACCATTCCCCATGCGCCCACTACAATCACTCTTTCTGTTCCAGCTGGGCTAGTGTCCCTGTGCGCACGGTGATGCCAACAGAGCATCTACCCCATAGTAAGCCTGTCCACAAGCTACGTTCCACGCGCTTCCCAGGGAGAAGCAGGATAAGGAAGCCTAGATAAATAGAGTACAACCTACATAGAAAGGAGATGACTGGGAATACTTCCTAGAGCGGGTAACACCCGAGCTGAATCTTGAAGGTCGAGGTGGCCCTGGTTGGACATTCCACACTGTCTCCTACCTCTAGGTCATCTGTGCCAGTCCACTGAACAGCCCGGCCCCTCCCTCCACACCCAAACCCTAATCCTCTGCCCACGTGAAGCCTTCAAACTTTTTCTCTGGGAACTCTTGTCTTTAGCAGTGAGCTACACTGTAGCACCCAGAAGGTCTGGATCCTTTTGTAGACTGGATGAGAAGCCCAGGTTTCTGAGTTCCCTCTGCAACTAGTTCCACGTCTAGAGATCCACAAAGTAAGGCAAACAACCCAATACTCCGGCCCCCCCATGAGAATCCCTGTGGGGATTGGCAGGAATAGGCTCAGGGGTCAACTTAAGAGCCTTCTATGGCTCTGCTTCCCACGCCAGTTGTGTGCTAGTGTGCACGTGTCTTGTTTTGTTTTCCTTTGTGGGGGAGGGGAGTAAGTCTGAAGGGAGAAGGAATTCATAACTGACTGTTGGTTGGCTTCATTCCAACCACTTTCTTTTCTGCTGGTGACAGTTGTTTTCCTCTTCTGGTTCAGAAGGTTTGGAGTCAGTCCCTACCAGCGACACCTTGCTCTGGCCTGACAGCATGCTCCAGAACACATAGAAGGGGAAGTGCTCGCAGGGCAAAGGGTGCTGCTGTCGGCATTGCCGGTTTAAAACAAAATCCTAAATTATCAAGACAGAGTCCAATTCAAAGGCTTTTGGAAGGAACTAATCCATTAACTTCCATCAGCCATACAGAGAACACAACACACAATTCCTAAACACACAAACAATTATCTATTAAATAGCTCCTGAAATTCTATCTCCACTGGGAAGCTTCTTGTATTGAAAGGGTCTGCTTCTGTATCACCTTACTGGCCAATTTTCTGCGGCAGAAACATTTATGTTTCGCTACTTCCAACAGGGTCAACACTGTCCCTATTTCACAAGTAAGAAAACAAAACCTCTGATAGATACTTCTGGGCCACACATGCTGTATGCAGCCAAGAACAGGGTTCACAGCCAGCCCATCTCTCCAAACGCTTCCTTATTACGCCTATGGAATCTGCATGCCCACAGCCTTTCTCTATCTCTGCCCCCAGATCAGGACTTAGATCTGTGGTAAACAACTTAATGCAAACACCTCCTACTACTCAGGGCGGCCTCAGCATTTTGCCCTACACCATGTCCCGGAGTTTTGATGTAGACAGTAGGAGTGGGGAGTGAGAGGCACCAGGTCTTGTCAAGCACTCACCTGAGTCAATCCACCAATCTCCTTCACAGACACATAGAGGCGATAGAGGTCCAGAGGCTTCCTGCCCACAGCAGGCAGATTTGTCATGCCCATGGCCTTCTCTTCTGTGAAGGCCAGGTAACGGTCCACCCACATCTTCCTCTCGGGCTCACCACCCAGCTCATACAACTTGGTGATCTTCTCATTGGTTGTAGTAGAGGAACTGGATTTCTGGAAGGAGGCAGTCAAAATCCATAGGGATGGGTAAGAGTCAAGGCTAAGCTAAGGGTCTCAGAAATCCCTTGGTTTTTATGCTGGGGTGGTCTACCTGTCCAAGGCAGAAATCGTAAAAGGGAGTCAGATTTTTCCTCGAAGGACACTCACTGACTACGTTCTGTACAGGGTGCTGTGCTTGATGCCTTTACAATACGACCTCAATTTTGTAAATATAAGAAAACAGGGCCAAGAAGTCACTGCCATGATCTCACAGCCTTTAAGAGACAGAGCTAAGTATCAAACTCTGTCCAGTTGACATCAAAGCCACTACTAAACACCACACTATTATCCAGGAGCTGGACACAGGTCTACAGACTGCTTCAGAGTAAGAACTCTAGAAATTTAAAACGCCATCTCCAGATAATAGAATAAAAAGAAAAGAAACTCTTCCCCTCAAGAAAGGAAGAATCAGGATTTGGGATATGAGGCTTAGCCACAAAGTCAGCAGCTGGAACCCACCAGCCAACAGCTCCAAGGGAAAGAGAGATGAGGCTTTCTGTTCATCAAGATTTAGAGTCTCAGAAACACAAAGTAGTTTCCTGTCCTACAGGGTCACTGTGAGTGGCAGGAATACAGGGTCTATATGGTAACGCACCCTAACTGCTTTGGTCAACCTTATGTACTTTTCACGGTCCTTTTCCTGCTCCGGTAATCCCACTGCTAAGGCCATTTTGGCAGGGTGCCAATGGTCTCCCTCATCTGGATGAATTGTATCTGCCTTGTCTTTGTCCTGCTTAAGACTTAATAAACGGCCTGGGAGCAGAGCTGCAGATCGACAGATGGCGTGGCAGCTATGATTTTTATTTTTCCTACTTTACTGACAGTGGAAATGAGGTATGGTAACAAACAGAAATGTTTCAAATGACCCAAATGCCAAGCAAGTCTCCAGGCTGCCACACAGTTTACTAGGATAGCATAGGCAAGACCAACCTACAGCAGAAGGGTCAAGAACAGGCCCAAAGCCAACTTGTCTCATGGCCCCCCCCTTCAGGAGAACACAGGATACCAACCACTCCTGATGCTTATTAGTGAGGTCCAGGGTCGCTACCATCTCTTAACTGCTGAGTAAAGGGGGCAGCTTCACAGAGGGTATCTGCCAAACAATACCAATAACCCTACACACCAGTGTCTGGCTATGACATTATGTCATTTACACGAGGGTCTCTTAAGCCAATTCGAGCCTCCTTCAATGTACTATTTATTGTCCAGGGACACTTCATGACAGGAAGAGGGAAAGGACGGCACGCAAGGTGAAGAGCAGTTAATACAGACTGTTACCTTGGATTTGGACTCTGTCTTGGGCGTCCCATCTGCCTTGTTGTTCATTTTGGTGGCTGGAGTTAACTTTACGTCGCCAAGGCCCATCATCTCTGGACTGGTTGCCATCCCTAAAAAAGAGAAAGAATTCCTAAACCCAGAGGTTACGCTGACAGAAACCCCCACGGGAAGCAAAGACTAGGACTTACCTGCTGAATTGTTGGTCATGGTCCCACCCATGGGATATGGCGGTCCCTGAGGGTTGATCATGCCAGCCATACTATTAATCCCTTGTCCATAAGGAGTTCCAGTTCCCATCATACCCCCCTGATTCACATTGGGGTAGCCTGGAGGCCTGAGGAAAAGAGATGGGGAGCAGGAGTTGGAGACATGCAGAGCTCTCAGATGTAGAATTCAGCCCGGCAGGGCTGTGGGCCCGACTCTGCTAGTTAGGGTTCAAACAGGAAACAGAGCCCTACTCTACCTTTTAAGTACCGTCTCTCTCTAAGCCAGCAGTTCTCAACCTGTGGGGCGAGACCCCTTGGCGGGGGTGGGTGTTGAGCGACCCTTTCACAGGGGTCGCCCGATTCATAACCGTAGCAAAATGACAGTGATGAAGTAGCAACGAAAATAAAATTTTAAAAATCATTTCATTGGAGGCTCATACAACTCTTATCACAATCCATCCATCCATCCATCGTGTCAAGCACATTTGTTGCCATCATTCTCCAAACATTTGCTTTCTACTTGAGCCCTTCGAAAATAATTTTATGGATTGGGGGTGGGGTGGGTGTCACCACAACAGGTGGAACTATACTAAAGGGTCTCGCAGCATTATGAAGGTTGAGAAGCTGTATTTCTGTTTAAGGACACAATCTATGGCAAAAGGCCTGGATCATATATTCAATTTTACCACTTTGCCTTGATAGATCCAAACGAGATAGAATGCCTGACACTGCAGCACCTGGAGGCAGCTTGGCACCCTTGCCAGGCCTCTATGAACTCTGCACTCCCAGCCCGTTTGTTTACAGTCCAGCTACCTTGGTTTAGGCCTCATCTCAGTTAAGACAGAACTCACTTTAGGAACTGTGGGCACTAACCATGGGGTGAGGAGAGTGAGGGCCTTCAACAATTAATGGGTCACTCCTGCCAGTGGTCAAGGCAGAGAGAAAATGTCAAAGCAGTAAGATTTCTGTGCTTTAGCACCAGTCAGACGCCCATCAGCTCACATTATTCCCACAGGACCTCCGAGAGCAGCAGCAGACTGGCACACCACAACCCTGCTCTTTTCCCTTCCTCATACCACAGACCCAAATGATGTGCGCCATCGTTAAGAATCCTCTGGAATCCAACCAACTAAACAGAAGAAATCATCTACTCTGAAAACTTACTTTACTAATCAAAATCGTCAGTGCTTTATAATGTTCTTTCTATTTGGTATTTGGTCAGGTCAACTTGAGGCTGAAGGGATAGCACCCAGGGCTCAGCACTTTCGTTGTGTCTTTCACAGTAAGGAAGCCTCGCTCTCTGGAGAGCTCGCCATAAAATGCATACTTCATAGAGAGACAGTTTCATATTCAGAAGCATCTCAATGACTGGAATGACCACCATCCATCTCCACACACTGACACGCTCCACCCTTTCCAAGCCTTCCTTACCTGTTTTGGATAGAGTTGGCAGCAACATGCATGGCAACAGCAGTTTCTTGAGTTTTTCGATTCATGCCCCCTGGTGGGGGGCACATCCCTGACCCAACCTGAGGTGGCATATTGGCCATATTGGGGCCATAAGGCCGGTTGCCCATGGAAGCATGACTCATTCTCCCCGGAGGGAGGGTGCCGTAAGGTGGGATGCCAGGCTGCCCATGCATTTGACCTCCAGCACCCATAGGGTTCATGCTTCCAGCCATGCCAGCACTGGGGTAGTTGGCATTGGGCAAAGCATTATAATTTGGCTGCCTTGGGTAGCCTCCTGAGAAGTGAAAAAGGAGAGAAGATGGAGAGACTTGGTTAGTAATTGATTAGTAATTTGATAGTGTCTCAACCCTAACTCCAAAGATAATGCGTAATGGGAAATACCTGGTCAAGAAAGACGTAACTTTCCCTCACAAAGTGAAGGGGAGCGCAGGAGCCTGTTATAGGCACACTTCAGTTCTTCTCGGAGCCTAAAGACAGGACTCTGCTCTGACTTTACTGCTATGCAGGCCTTTTGACGCCCAGAGGAATTCTTTCTCCTCTACATATTCATTGTGCTTTCTCTCCCATGCTTTGGGTAAATACATTCTGCTTTAGGTTGGTCTAGGGCTAATTTTTTTTGAGCAGAGATCCATCCTACTTGGACCTAATAACTGTAATAACCAATAAAACACCAAAAAATAAAACCCACTGCCACTGAGTCAATTCTGACTCATGACGACCCTCTAGGACAAAGTGGGACTGACCCCTGTGGGCTTCTGAAGTTAAAAATCTTTACAGAAGCAGAAAGCCTAATTTTCCTCCCTTGGAGCGGCTAGTGGTTTTGAACTGCTGACCTTGTGAGTAGCAGTCCAAAGTATAATGTATGTCTCCTGGGCTTCTTGTAATGGCCAGTATTTTATGCTCACTTGGTACTAGGCTAAGTACCTTATCCTTATTTTACAGGTAAAACAGACGCTTGGAGAACAACACTTTTTCCAGGAGACAGAATGTTAGGTGGAGACAAATGGAACCCTGCCTTGCCCTACGCTTCAGGGTCTGGGCTTGGTGGATGATTCAGAACAAAGGACAGTTCTATTCTTATTTCCCAGATCGTGGAACATCAGACAAGAAATTGTTTTCTCCACTCAACTTTAGCTACTCCCGACTGGCTAGTGTACTCACCTTGTGGGCCATACTGAGCCCCCTGGGGACCATAGCTCCCCATGGAGTTCTGCTGGTAAGAGCCCATGCCTGTGTGCATCTGTCCTCCAGAAGGCTGACGAGGAGATAAGGCTGAGCCGGGCTGAGGGGAACTGTACTGGGGCATCTGGGGGTTCCTCTGCATGTAACCTGTTTGTGGAACATGCAATACTCAGCAATTGCTGTCACATGCTGCCGTCATTCTGGTATAACAGGGACAAATTCTCTCTTCTACCCTGTGACTTCCTCACCACCATTTTCTTTAGCAGCCACTTGCATCACTATCTAATTTACTACACAAATCAGGCGCCTTTTCCAGACAACCCTCCAAAGTCATACAACCACTAACCAGGGGATGCCAACTGCTGTCATAAGTTTCTATGAAATGGGGGTTTGAGAAGACAAAGAGCAAGGACAGGAAACAAAATGGTGAATGATTTAAAGGATAAAGACTGAATGATGAATCTTCTATACAGAGTTAAGCACCAGGTGGTGTGTGTGTGGGTAATCCATCAAAACTCTGGCAAGCATTGAGAAAGACTGACTCCGGGGGTGTACAATTCTGGAGATACCAACATGGCCAAGCCCACTCTGGGGTCATAGCTGGTTTCTAGGATAATCTTGAACTCCACGGGCATACAGTTCTCCAAAAGTTACTATACAGAACACTCTGCCCGCAGCACCATTCTCCATCCTCCTCACCACGCCCAGCCCAGCTTCTCACCTCTATCTTGGGCAATGCTTGATTGGTTCATGGAAGGATGCATGATGCTGTCTGACTGGCCACTGGGCGGCCGAGGTGGCATCTGGTTACCTATTCCAGACACAGAGAAACACGCCAGTCAAAGGTTTAAGTTTGTAGATTCTAACTGGGAGGTCAATTCAGAGATGGAAGATGGCTCATGTGAGGGCCAAGCACTTACTAGTATCTAATACACAGAGAGGTGTAGCCCAGGGGTTTCCACCTCCCTTTCCCAAATGTTAATGGAAAGTTTTACAGACATCATCCAGAAATGTTCTTTCTGCTAGTAGAAATCTGGGGCTTGCTCTGATCTTTGGGGGCTGGACCCGTTTTCCTCCCCCTCTGGAGCCCAGCATTTGAGGGTACCTGGCACTGCAGCAGGCGAGAGTGGTCCTGAGCGAGACTGAGCAACACTGGCGGGAGAGCCAACAGGGGACGGGGAGGGGCCTCGGATGCCAGGCAGGTGAGGGGAGGTATGAGGAGAGAAAGGAGACTGAGCTGGATTACTCTGCTCTCCTTGGCTGCTGGAAATCCCTGATGTGCTCACTCCAGGGCTCAGAGCTCCTTCTGTCCCCATGGGGAGATCGTCTATTGAACCAGACAGATCCTGAAACATACATATACAATGACACAGATTAGGCAGAAAGAGCCTTTCCCCAATAAGCTCAAATCAATACACATAGCAATGTCCTTAAATAACCAAGGGAAAACATTAGTCAGGATACTTTAGTTCACATATGATAAACTTTCTGTAAAGGGACAAATAGTAAATAATGACTCAACTCTGCTATTGTCACATATAAGCAGTCGCAGATAATACATAAACAAGCGACTGTGTTCCATAGCTTGCTGACCTCGGCTCTACCCTCTTGGAAGCAGAGGTCTGCTTTCCTCTTCTTTCTCAGCCCTACAGTCAGAAGTGAGCACGTCGCTCCTACAGTCACAAGTCTTTAGGTCGGACTTCAGTTCTAACCTGACAAAGTGCTACCAGGAGGACACCAGAAACTACAAGAGAAGGTAACGGGTTTGAGCAGTGTTCACAGGTCCCCTCTCCTCAGATTATTAGAATAACTTTCGTTTACCAAGGATTCATTCACTCTGAGTCACATTTGGTAGCACAAGGGGTACAGGGGGAGAAAGGGGCCCATTACGTAGGAAAGCCAGCCAATTCAATTCCTTAAATACCAAGAAGGTCTGGGTCTCTACTCCTAAGCCCGAGAAGGGATCAGAGCTACTGATAAAGGCCCAGGTCTGGGAAAACCCTGTGGGAGGAGAGCTATGCTGGCACAATTGGGACAGAAATCTAATCATACTCCCTCAAATAAGCTCACCTTGAAAAGTTCCATGCAGGGGGATTCTGGCCCTAGGAGCCTGACAGTAACCCTCGCAGTCAAGAGCTTCTCAGGCTCTTCCCCCAAGCACTCACACTGGGTGGATCTTTCCCAGGCACGCTGGCTACCTGGCTAGGCCGGCAGTGTTTCTGCAGAGTTCCACGGACAGAGCTTACTCGGAAGGCAAGCTAAGTAGAGAGGTATTCATTTGTGTCTGCATCCAGTTCTCAGTGTAAACTGAAAAATCAAAACTAGCATTCCTGCTGATGAGAAGCAGGCATTGGTTGGTATACATAATATGCTTTGAAAATGCAATCTGAATTAGTTCCAAGATAGAAAGGAACTCGAGAGCCATCTCCAAGTAGCACCAAAGAAGCTCTTCCCTCTGGCAGGACTAAACTACCTGGAGACTAAAGGGCTTTGGGTTCCTGGTACACGAGGGGCAAGAGCCCATTCCTGTGTTGAGGAACCAAGATGACAAGAGGGTTTAAAAGCCCTACAGTCTAGGACAGAAACCACAGCCCAGTGCTGTGTTTTAGGGCCTAGAAGATTTCCTTATCAAGCTGCCAGCTTTTGGTACTAAGAACTACTTACTGGCAGGAAACAGAAGAAATTGAGAGGCCATATGACAAAAACCTGACTTTGTTCTAATGGCTTTAAAAACCTGTGTTTTGTTTTGCATTAGCAGTATGTTTACATTTATCTTTAATTGTATGGGACCTTCTTCGTGACATAAACATTTCAGATAACACAGTCCCCCTTGGCTTTCTGCTGCCTTCAATAGAAGAAACCCTGTTCAGTTTGGTATACATCCTTGGAGGCCTGCAGAATTGAGGGGAGAGGGGTGGGAGAAAGGACGAGAGGGAGAGAGAGAGGGAAAGAAAGGAAACCACCAACAGCCACTGGAGCCAAAAGACAACTGCTGCAGGGTTGGGGAAAGCACTGAAGTTCCTCAGTCACACCTCTGGTAAGAACCCGGGCGCACCACAGAGCTTTACAGTGAACGTCCCTAGTGCGGCTCAAGAATCCCAGGAACCTAGAGAAACTCCTTGCAGCCCCACGGCAGGCTCCAAGAAAGCTGGAGGCATCTGCTGTTGCAAAGAGTGGTTTCCTTCAAGGAAGCACTGTGAGGTGGCTTTAATTTTGGTAAAGTACCCTGAGCTCCTTGGAGAAAAAGTGCTAGTAAACCACTGGCAACAGCCCCCACCTGGACTGGGATGCTCGGGCACAGGATAATACAGAGGAAGGAAGAGCATTAATCGTCTCATCGCTCTGATTTGGGTCGTTTAAGGCCAACCTCTCAAACTCATTTTCATCACATGGTAACTGGTCAATGGGGAGGGAGTTAGTATGGGTGCCTACCGTCCTAGGAGGTACATACAACTGTTGTAAACATAAGGAGGCTGCTTTTCTGGGTCATACGGCCAAGCTACCCAGCAAGTGGCAGAAACCAGATTTAAACCCAGGTTTGCCAATGCCCAAAGCAGTGCGTCTCAACACGTGGGTCGTGACCCCTTTGGGGATCGAACGACCCTTTCACAGGGATTGCCCAATTCATAACAGTAACAAAATGACAGTGATGAAGTAGCAACAAAAATAATTTTATGGTTGGGGGGGTGGTGGTCACCACATGAGGAACTCTATTAAAGGGTCGTGGCATTAGGGAGGTTGAGAACCACTGGCCCAAAGCCTATGCCACCTCACTCTCCATTATGCTACGATAAGTGAACTGAGGAAAGAAGCACTACACCTTGGAGCCAGGAGACAAAGGCCAAACTCTTGGTATTTGTCACTTGGTACTTATCACTAAAATGGCAAAGAGCTGGGCTTCCATCTTCTCATTTATATGAGTGAGTTTCAAACATTCATGGGAAAATGCCATTATTTTTCGTTCTATTTCCCCACAAATGTTATGAAAGTACATTCTCAGTCAACCTTAGTACGCAATGAAGCATACTCGTGAAACCCCACTACCACTATAGATATGGCCAGGCCAAACTTGCAGCAGCAATACCCTAGAACAAGAGGCTCAACAACAAACTAGCAGGGCGAGACGTAATGGAAGCCAAAGGCAGTGGCCCCAGTGCTTAATCTTAATCATGGTGACTGTTTCTATTGGGAATGGGAGGGCGAGGTAAAGGTAAAATCTCCAGGAGTGATCAACAGTCCAGGCAGGTTTGCCCCCTTTGCCGCCAAGAACAGATACTGCTCTGAACTTCGACTGTTCTGAACTTCGAGGCCTCTGATTGCATAGGACACACCCCTCTGCTTTCTACCCTACAAAAAGCCAGTTTTTCAGGTCTTTTGTTCCACAAAAAGCCAGATGTCTGGTTGTTGAGTCAGACCTCAAAGTGCCTAACAAGTTCAGTATTTTACAACACAAACATGATCAAAAGAAAAAGTCCCATCAGCCCAAGCCCTTCTTTCCCTAGTGGAGCTTCACCCTTTGACATTTGATTCGAAGACTCTTCCGGTTCTCAGTGCTACCCAAAGGGCCCAGCTGAAAGGTATCTTCTGGAAGAAATGCTGAAGGAAATGCAGCAGTGCCCCTTACACAGCAAGATCCCTTTCGCAGAGGGGTCTCCTCCAAACACAATTCTGCTGAGATGGGAGGTGAGGATGAGCTCACTCAGTGCCCTGCCAGTTCCAAGCAGCAGCAGGGCCAGGGAGAATTTCCTCACGTGTTTCCAACGTGTTTCGTGCATTTTATTGCTCATCTACCATGCAGATCAAAAGCGCTGGAGCAGGTCCAACTATTTCACACAGAATCTCACACTCCAGGCTGGCTACAGCCCCGAAAGCCTTCATTTCTTCACTTGAAATACTGCCCAATGTTATTTTGGGATGTGACCTGATAGAGGAAGCCCATAGAGAGACTCCATGACGGTAACGGCTCCAGCTGTGAGTGGTTGCCCAGCCTCAGTGAATGCCAGCATGGGTTTGTCAAGCTCTGCTGACAAACAGGACTCAGCAGCTAACACCTTCTCTTCGCACCACAACAAAACCATGCCTGAAATCACACAGTCCACTCCTCATTTAGTGGGGGAGGCCTGGGGGCAGGGGCAGGGGGAGGGGCTGGTGCTCTCACAGAAAGTGTTGCAAGTTCTAACATGAATTGGCTGCTTAGTGGAACACATTTTCAAGCAGGAAGATACCAGATCAGAGGCAAGAGAAGGGGAGGTTTAAATGATCTGCCAGCTTCGTGAAGGTGACATGACTTCACTTTGCAGAGCAGATTAAAAGACACCACCTGGCAAGCCTACAGAATGGGCTCGTGGCAATGCTCAGATTCAGGGCTTCTCCACACATTTGGTTGAATCCTTGAAGGCCAGAGCTTCCGCTGACCCCCAGATGGGGTTTTCACAGCCTTGCAGTTGTGAAGGGTTTTTGCTGAATTGTGTGGATTACTAGCAGGCAAGCCACCCACCACGGGAGCCAAGTAAATTCTATACACATGCTTGTAAAATTCACACACACACACACACACACACACACACACACACTCTCTCTCTCTCTCTCTCTCTCTCTCTGTGGGAAGCTCACAACTTAGTTACACCCAATTAAGAGACAATCTTAGAATTAAAAAGTCCAAAATGCATAGCCTGAAATGACCAAAGCCACCGCACGAGGCTGTTTCCATGCTGCAGGACAGGAGGGACCACAGAGAACACAGAGGTTGAAACTGAACTCCTGATGAAAGGCGGAGGGTAGGCAAAGAGGGAACTGTTTTAAAAAACTTCAGAGGAAAAGGGACTGAGACACTTACCTGCACAGCAATCACTTGTGGCAAATAGTATGTTTTCCATTAAACAAAAACAAACTCACAACCACCCAGTCGATGCTGACTCATAGAAACCTATAGATAGAAGAGGGTAGAACTGCCTCTGCGGGTTTCTAAGACTGTCAGTAACTCTTTACAGCAGCAGCTGGAAATTTGTGACCTTGAGGATCACAGCCCACCTTGTAACTACTGCACCGTCAGGAAGGGTTCCTGCAGGGTTTCTATGAAGCCTTTCTTGGGGGTGGGAAAAAGCTACCTTTAGGGGATGCTTCTAAAAAAAACAAACAAAAAACGTTTCCATGCAATAAAGGCTGTCATGATCCCCACTTCTCCCCTTCAACCTCTGCTTTATGAAAGGAAGGGCCATCTAACCTATCCCAAACAGGTAAGGGCTCTCAAACTCACGGTCACAAAGTCAATTCTGACTCATAGTGACCCTATAGGACGGAGTAGAACCGCCCTTGTGGATTTCCAAGACTAGATTTTTATGGAAGA